TACAATGGTGGTATGCAACAATATAAAAACATGGAAAAAGATCCCTTAAAGGTCGACTAACTTCTCACAAGAGTGATATAAGATGCCAAAAACATTCCAGTGCCTAGCACAACACATTCTTACTTCTGACCACCGACCAGATTATGAACATGTCAAAATTCTCTGCACAGAAAGCAACCATTTCAAAAGAAGCTTCCTTGAAATGTGCCACATTTTCCTCAATCCATCCACCATGAATAAACGTACTGACATTGACAACCTCAATTTATTATACCATTCTCTTCTCTCCAATATCAAAAACCAAACGAGGAATTCTTCGACGTTCTTTTGTCATCCAGACTGTTTCATTTCCGTTTTCTTTGATCATTTATTATCACATCCCAGCTACCTATCAACCTTCTCTTTATTTCTCACTTGTACTTACTCTTATATTCCACCTTTTACATTTATACTGATTCATTCCTAATTTACATCTAAACCTTCACTTATTTGACAATCCATATTTTCCTTTCCTGACTAATCGCCATAATAAATCTCAGATTCCAACCTTTCTTCACTACATATTGGTTTTGTAGACAGTTCCACTTAATATTTCTATTTACTTGTGTCCTCTGCGTTGTAGGTTTGAGTTCTTGTGTATTGCGCCTGCTCGTCTCATACTCCCCAAAAGTTGTATCAACTCACAACTATGAAAGACACACATTCTACTTCATTGAAAATGTCGGCAACTTGACATTCATTTTCGGGTTAAAATCCTTTAATTTGAAATGCGCCCTAAAGTGAAGTACAAAAAAGTTAACTTTGTTATAACAACAGCTGTGCCAGTGTGTTATAGTCATCTTTTAATTTTATATCTACACTTTACTGTTATAAGTTAGTTTTTTTACGTGCAATGTGACGGGTTTTTATAGAGCTTTGTAGTAGTTTTTATTCATTCTTTCACTTTTAAACAAAAGTTTTTCGCTTTGTAATACATGAATGCTATTACATAGAAACATTTAAGCTACTATTTCAACACCAACATTTTAATATTTTGACCACGGTTACCAAGAGAATGGTGTGTTTGTTTTACACCTTATTATTCTTCACTCACCATTCGAAGTTCTTTTTCCATATTTTTATATTATTGCCTAACACCATTGTAATTTTTTTTTTAGATTGAACTGATGAAGCTCGTAAATTCAATAAGTGAAACGTCTTCAAATATAGAAATGGAACTTCTCATTTGACCGATATCCTCGTGACCAAAAGATTTATTTCTTTTGGAACTTACTTTATTGAATAATTGTTTAACGGTCATACTCCTTTATATATATATATATATATATATATATATATATATATATATATATATATATATATATATATATATATATAGTATAGACCTGTACAGGCTGGTATACGGTTCCAGAATTCTGGAATGGTTATGATGAATGAATGGAAAATGTACAATAAGACAATTGGCTGAAGTACGACCAGTTTATAACAGACGGCTTAAATTAGAAAAAAAAAACAAGATCAGGAATATGCAGAAATTAAAATATTTTAATGGAGGAGAAAAAAATCTTCACCATGTTTCACGATGAGCTTACACTTTCTATATATCGGAAACTACTTAAACGACATTTATGAAAATTGGTTTATGGGGATTACAAGTTATGACAAACTAAACGAAAATATTTTGACAAAACAGCAACTTTGATATTTTAACTTTAACACCCTATATATTATTGCATTTTTTGGTTATTAGTTAAATTCCAGATTCTATAAAAATTCTATATTGAAAGGTAAGGTGGTTTATCTTGGAGGCAATTTGGTTTTTGTGAAGGGAAAAGCACGATTGATGCAATCGTGAGTGTACTCGAAGCATTGCGCAACAGAGGTGATGAACATCGTTAGGCAGCCCTGTTGTTGTTTAATGTTAAGAATGCATTCAATACGCTGCAGTGCAACGAGGTAATGAAGGCAATGGAGGAGAGAGAATGTCCTGGTTACCTGCTAAATGTGGTGGCGGAGTATCTGTCCGAGAGGAGGATTATGGTGAAAAAGGACACGATCGTGGACATGACGGCCAGGTCCCACAGGCATCTGTCTTGGGCCCGACGCTATGGAACCTGGCATATGACGGGGTTATGAACTGTGAATACGGAGAGGATATAACCCCCTTCGCATTCGCGGATAACCTCGCGGTACTGTTAGTGTCCTGGGATGAGCCAGATCTCAAATACCGGGTTCAAAACGCAGGCCGCGTCGTAAAGAAGTTGATGACGCAGCACGGACTGAAACTTGCGGCAGAGAAAACCGAAGTCATCATTCTGAAAAAAAAAGGAAAAGGCAAGGTGTTGAATTACAATGTGCGGAAGCATGTCTAACACCCAAGAAACACGTAAACTACCTAGAAGTGACATTGCACCAGAATGTAAAATGGAGAGAGCATGTGCACGTCCTCTACGCGGTACCAGTCTGTAGCGGGGCGGTAGAGATAACGTCCTATAGGAGGCTCATGACACGAGTGGACAGAACAAGTCTGTTGCAAGTGGCATGCGCCTACAGGACTGTGTCTGCGATAGCCTTGCCCCGCTGCATGTTTTGGCGGTGGAAAGAAAAGATCTCTATGAGAGAAGAGGCTCAAAGCTTACCATGGCCGAGAGAAGGCAGAAAAGGGAAAGGTCAATTGAAATATGGCAAGAAGAATGGAATAACACGGAAAATATGGCACAGTGGAGGAAAATGCTGATCCCGAACATAAGATATTGGGTGTACTATGGCCATAGGCGACTGGATTATTTCCTGGCGCAGGTATTCACAGGGCACGGATGTTTTAGGACCTACCTCTCCAAGTTCGGAAAGGCTGACATATATAAATGCCTATACTGGAGACACTCGGACACTGTAACACTACGCTGTTAGATTAACAGATGGAGAGTAGAAACGAACTGAATGGAAAGAGAAATAGGTGGGAATTTTGTTACAGTGAGATAAATGATTGAGAGAATGATTGAAAATAAAGCAGGTTAGATTGGGCTACACAACTATATACGTGCAGTGATCAAGAAAAGATGCTGGAAGTTAAAGCTAGAAAAGTGGGTCAGAGTGTATGAGTTAGAATTCGTGAGTCTGACTGTTTAGGGAAGGAGGAAATGCCTGGAAGGAGGGTCTTTTACGCGTTACCAGGAACGAGACAGTAAGCCTCCTTGCTGATGAATGGAGTATGAATGTGGATGAATGGAGAATGAATTAATGAAGGTAGTGCTTCGGAAGTGATGCTGGCCTTACAGCAACCATTTCGCTTCCGTATCGCTGGATGACAGAGGAGGGTTTGGTTTAGCAGGAGGGCCTTTTAAAGTACCTCGGGAACTACCGCCGGGAGTACGAAGAACGAATCCTGCACTAAGGTCAGTCAGGCGGCGTCCTGGACTGAGATGTGTTTTGAAGATTCCAGGCACATTCCAAACCATAGTAACTCAATAATTTTAAATAAACCTCTCTGTACTTTATAATTTTAATGAAAAAAGAAATGAGTTATATTTCTAATAGTATGGGGGTTTTTTACATTTTAAACTAATATTTTTGAACATATTTGTGATTTAATGTTTAAGATAGGATATTTATTATTTTATTCTAGCAGGCTGTATAGGAATATGTCATAATTGCCATTATTTCTGGTTATTGGCAATTTTGCAAAGTGATAGAAAAAGCTAGTTCAGAATTAAATAAGGAAGAATGCGTAAATTTACTTTGAATACATGGAGAATGTGACCTATTACTAGAACATTGTGCCATATTTTGCATGTTTTCAACAAAAAGTTACCAAAGCAAAGACTATTGTTAATAATAATGATCAAACAATAATTGTTCTTGGTTGCGACACTGCTTAACCCGAAGCGGCATTACGTTGTTCAGCGAATTAAAAAAAAAAAACAAAAAAAAAGTCATCCCTAGTCTTACACAGCAGTTCAAAGTTTAAATAAAACAGACTATAATAAAAGAATAGAATTTGTAACGCTAAAATGTTAAAAAGGCAATGAATTTTTGAAGAATATATATTGTGACGAATCAAAATTTTCAAAGAACGAAATGTTTAATAGGCACAATTCGCATTACTGGATCGAAGTAAATTAAAGTTTACCAAAAAGCGCTGTTTTTTTGTGTGATCGGAGATAAACAGGTTGTAGCTCTTTCTTTAATAACACTAGTTTTTTAATTAAAAGATATCTTAATGTATTTAAAGGAAATTTACACTATCTTCATTGTTTCATTCTAAACAAGCCATTTTTATCATTTTGTAAAAGTGCCAATAATCAAAAATAATGATAATAATGACATCGTTAAACATGGCCTACTAAAAACAATAAATATCTTACCTGGATCATTAAACCACAATTATCTCCAAAAGTATTAACTTAAGGTATAAAGAACCATAACACTATTTGAGAGACTATTAATTTCGTTTTCATTAAAATTATAAAATATAGGGTGTTTCATTTTAAATTATTGACTTAGTGTAGTTCGCAGTTTAAACTCTGTACGGGCATGGTAGGGGGTATAACCGGAAGTAGTATGTCTGTCAAAATATTTTCTTTAAGTTTGTCATAACTTGAAATCTCCATAAACCAATTTTCGTATATATCGTGTAGGTAGTTCCCGATAAATATCGCGATCCCGATCTGAGTAAGTTCGTCGTGAAACACCCTGTATATTAAAATAGTTTGAGCACATCAACGTCGAAATATGAATCACCCAATTTTCAAGTTCAAATTCCTGGAAGGACTAAGTGAAGAATCAAAAAGATACGACGACAGACAGTTGTATAAAATATATCTGTGAAAAGTGTACTGGTACCATCCAGAATAAAAACAAATGGAGCACTTGCCAGAGATAAAGGACAAGAGATCAGTAAAATTATATTATATAAATATATCCTTAAACCGTTTTATATTTAACTACTTATTTTATTTTAATTAATTAATACCGAAATAATGCCGAAAAAATCTAAAATTCGTTAGAAAATATTTTTACTAATAAAAAATATAAATTATAACATTAAACTGCTGATTCTGAAAATGCAGCGAACTCCTTAGAAGTTAATGCCAAAACTTCTTCGCAAACTTTCTTGTAGCACCACGAATCACCTCGAAGGCGTTTTCTTCTGATCCCTACAAAACCATTAGTTTGATTTTCTTTGTTTCTTCGAGTATTCGGTGGAGTGCTGCTAATGGCTTTTTTTAAAATCGACTTGGTCGGTGTTGTACTTTTAGATTGGTGAGGATTTACACTGAGATCTGGTAAGAAACATATATGTAATTCGAAGGAACATTCTCCCAGGTTTTGTTTGGAAGATGGTTCTAACTTCCCTCTTAAGATGAAACTGAAACAATAAATGATGTTAGTTATAGAGCATTACTCAAATGACACACAAGACCAAAAAAGTTAATACAAATCAAGCAGGTTGCGTGCATACGTTTTTTTTTAAAGCATCTTTTTAAATAAAAAAAGCAAAAGAATTGTTGAGATTCATAGACCAGAACATGTATATCACACCCACTGATAATTTTTTTAATAAAATTCAAAGTAATTTCGTCCCAAATATACGTCCCAAATAATATTTCGTCCCAAATAAATGAACCAAAGGAAAAAATATTTACATTAATTTGAACATGAAAATTATAATCACATTATTTCAAAAAAATAAATATTTCCCATCAAATGATAAAAAGGTTGGTGATGTGAGCACGTATTTATGAATGTTAGGAACTAAATGTAAAGTATATATATATATATATATATATATATATATATATATATATATATATATATATATATACGTATTTATGAATGTTAGGAACTAAATGTAAAGTATATATATATATATATATATATATATATATATATATATATATATATATAATATATATATATATATATATATATAATTTTTTTTAGGTAATACCTTTGTATTGACCCCCTGGATGTTTGGTTTTTCATGTTATTCTTTTTCGATGAACTGATGATGCTTTCTGATTTCTGATTAGAGAGCGAAACGTCTTCAAATCAATAGATGAAGTAGCCACCTTCTTTGTCTTTTTCTCCATCTTTTGACCGAAAACCCACCACTCTTCGAGTGATCTTTAATTTATATATATATATATATATATATATATATATATATATATATATATATATATATATATATATATATGAAAAGAAAAATTCTTTGCAGATAAGTTAAATAGTAAACTCTTAAATATTGGGGAAATCTACAAGAAAAACTCTAATGGAGTATCAATTGTTTCGCCGAACGTTTTCGCCAAAGAGAATTAATTTGGCTTCTTCAAGAATGATACAGAAGACAAGGATTCTGAAAAGTGATGAAAATAGCTTTGGTAAGAATAATAACAACATTAAACTTAATGTAGCTTGTAGATCAGCCCTAACAATTAATAATCTTTATTCTAAGATCAAAGATATGACTCCTATAGATATGCTTAGTAACATCGTCTACCACATTATATGCCTCTCTTGCAACAATTCCTACATCGCCCAAACATATCAATTATTGAAATCGCGTATCACACTACACAAAAGTGATTCTCGACTTCACCCTGACCGTTGTGCATTAGCCAAACATGTCCATTCCACTAGTCATCTCATGGACTATACTAACACTACAATTCTCCACCGTGAGAACAATAAATCTAAAAGAGAGTTCATTGAAATGTCATATATTTTCATTTTAGAGAATTCTCCATCAATGTTAAGAGTGCCATTAAGAATCTAAGCGATATATACCCCTTCTTACTTAAATCAGATATCAAGAACAATACAACATCACAGATAACTAACTTGACTAATATATATCCATTAACAACTGACCTACTTAAACAATAATTTTCATTAATTAAAAAAGATAACATTTCCTTGCTTTTCTTAGATACATCTCAATAAGATATTATAATAATAATGCATAAACAATATAATATAATAAAAAAATTTTCAATTAAGAAAAATCTAAAATAATATTACGCTAAAATGGAAATTAACTTCATTCTGTTACACCAATGAACCTTAACGACATAAAGAGTCACAAAAACTACTTTGACTTCCCAGCGCATGCGTTCTGGTAAAATAGAACCTCATATTTAAACTTTCCAATAATCAAAAATTTAGTTATTGCCGACAACTCAAAGAATTATTTCCTTTTAAAATAGTTACATTGGGTTTTTCCGATTAGCCTTGGGTACACCTTTACGTTTCAAGTTCAAAGATACCATACATTTCCAACGGTAACTTTTTTCACATAGTAACAAAAAAACTACCATGTTGTTACTAGCCTTAGACCATAAAAACTGATAGACGCGCCGTAATGCTATTCTCTCGTCTCAAGGAGTGAAGCCAACATAAAACGATTCACACAGCTGTGGGTGACGTCAGTTTGAGGCAGAAACGGTAGAGATTAGTAGTGTTTATACGCGTTGTAAACGTTTTAAAGTGTTTAAATTTAAAAATTTTCCAATACATTAATATTATAATTATGGTGGCATCTTGCAGTGCATTTAATTGTACGCAGCGACAAAAAAGGGACAGATATATCATTTCACGGGTAAGTAAATTCACAAATTAAACTTGAAAAACATACCAGAAATTTAGCACCTATTATTTTACTTTTTGTTCCCTTATATATAATTTTCATTTTATAATTAGACTGAAAAGAAGCAGTGAATGTATTAAAACAAAAAGTAGTTGAACTTAGAAATAAAGGAAAATCATGTATTTGTGCTTTGATGGTCGATGAAATGTCTATACACCAGAAAATAGAATGGGATGGTGAAAAGTTTTTAGGGTAAGTGTAGCTTAATATTTATTAGCAATTAAAAAAAGTATCGTAACATTATATTTTCTATTTAAATAATTGAAATCATTAATTTTAGGTATGTTGACATAGGAAGTAAACCTCAAAGCGATTCTTCCGAAATTAAAGCAAAAGAAGCAATTGTATTCTTAATTAATAGTTTAAATGATTCATGAAAGCTGCCGATAGGATACTTTTTAATCGCTGGGTTATCAGGTGTTCAAAAAAGTAATCTAATAAAAATGTGCTTAAAAATAATGCACGAAGCTGATGTCACAATTACTAGTCTAACATATGATTGTGCAGCATCAAATATTAGCATGGTTAAACAACTTGGAGTTGATTTATCGATTAATTCCAATAAAGTATATTTTCTACATCCAGCAACAAATCAACCAATATATGTAATGTTTGACCCTCCACATATGTTGAAACTTATTCGCAATACTTTAGGTTGTTACCAAATTTTTTTTGACGGGAATAATAAAGCGATTAAATGGGAATATTTGCAAAAATTAGTAGACATTCAAGAGAAGGAAGGCCTTTATCTTGGAACTAGGATAACGCGAAGGCATTTAAATTGGTATAAGGTAAAAATGAATGAAATGAATGAAATGAAATTAGCTGCCCAAACGTTCAGCCAAAAAGTTGCTAAGGCAATACATTATTTGAGAAATAAAAGCTCAAAAGAATTTGTAGATCGCGAAGCTACTCAAAATTTCATTGAACATATCAATGATATTTTTTATATTTTGAATAGACAAAATTTATTGGCAAAACACCTAAAATCTAGTTTACAGCATCATAATAAACAAGCAGTTTTTCAAAAACCTGAAGAATCTATAAAATATTTTAGTTCACTTAAGTGTTCCAAAAATTGTGAACCCCTATATCTAAGCCAAAGAAAGACGGATTTTATTGGTATGATCATTAGTTTAAAATCACTAATGGGAATTTGGAAAAATTACGTGGAGGATATGGATGGAGGTCTGAAGTATCTTTCGGCCTATAAACTTTCTCAAGATCACTTAGAAGTTTTCTTTAGTTCTATTAGGGGTCAACAACAACCTAACGGCAAAACAGTTTAAAGCTGCATATAAAAGACTATTAATGCACACAAGTGTTACAGGATCTACCCAGGCTAATTGTATAGAACAGGCACCTTCCATAATATTAGCAATGAGCACAACAAATACTGTGAAAATGAAAACTGTTGATCATCACCTTATTGACAACTTTATAATTGATGAAAATAATAGGGAAACAATAACTAGTAACCAGGATTAGGATTATACTGTAAATATTTTAAGTTTTTCAAGAACATTGTCATCTTATGTTTGTGATGTTGTTGACTATATCGCTGGGTTTGTCGTTAAGAAAACATTAGATTGTGACATATGTTTGTGTGCAATTGAATGTGATAATTTACAATCTCCATTCATAAGACACAAAAATTATAGCATGTCAAAAGATTTTTTAATTCAACCTTCTAAAGCGAAATTAAATTTATGTACAATTCAAAAAAATTAAACGATTCCAAAATAATGACAAAATTGATCTTATATATCATGAGTAACGTGCATGGTGTAAGAACATATGTTTGATCATGAATTTGAAACAAACCATTTGTTTAATCTAATAAAGATAATTTGTTTCCATTATTGCAACATTAGATTGTACCACGAAGGTGAAAAACTAAATAATGTAATAAGAGTTAGAAGTAAGTTAACAAAAGCTATTTTGTTTTGTGGTCAATCAATTTCATCAAAACATCAAAAAATATGTGGTGATTTCCTACATATTTTTTTACCTATCCTGAAACTTCCACCCAAAAGAAAATTATTCTCCTTTAAATTTATTTCTGAATATCAAACAAGAAGTGATATACCAACGATATATAATAATATATGTAGGTATGTACTTTCAAATAAAACATTTATTTTTACAATTTAAGGCAAAAATATTTATTAATTACTTTGCTAAATAATTTATCTTCCATATTTTTTACAAAATATTGAAGTTATATTAAAATTAATCTAAAATTGGGTAATTATACTAGTGCTTTGCTAAGAATCCAAGCGGGCTCTTGCCTCATTGTGACGTCACTTTCGCGGAAGGTGTTTGCTTCAACGGTTCGGTACAAGGCGTGTCTATCAGTTTTTATGGTCTAAGTTACTAGCTAGGTTTTTTTAACATCCTAACTCTACAATTCTAAGTTACGGTAAGATCTCCAGTGTTTTTTAAATAGATAATATATGGTAGCTAATTATAATTTCTTCTCTTTCAACCCTAAAGAAGCCAAATTAATTCTCTTTGGCGAAAACGTTCGGCGAAACAAATGATACTCATTAGAGTCTTTCTTTTTAAACATCTGAACATATACAAAACTTTTCGTAACAACGGATATCCTAAACAAATTAAAAAAAAAACTGATTTACAGCAGTAATTTCTATGACGGTCCCATCCATGATTCTAACAACAAATCAATCCAATATAAAAAAAATACCATGTCTAGAATG